TGGGACTTGTGGTCCAGAACTTCTTGGGGTCACAAGCTGCCCATCCATGCTCTGTAATTTCTCAATCAAGCCTGTGATATTGTCCTACCAAATAACATTGAAAAGTGGCTCTTAAAAGAACTGTCCTTTAGATTCCTGCCCCTCTCAATTTGCAAATTCTGGAGGTAACCCACCCCTCTCTGTTTGGTAATCCATGGTAGGCGTGTCATGAGCGGAGCTGGGGGTCAGACTAGATGGCCTAGGAGGCCCCTTCTGACTCGCTTTGTTTCTATGTTTCAGGAGAAGTTACCGGATCCCAGAGCCAATATGGCCACCGGTCATCCCAGATGGCAAGCTCTCTTCAGCCTCATCCTTGTCCTCCTTGAGGTAACATTTGTGAGACTCCAGAGAAGGGGACTGGGTGGGAAAGGGCAGACTTGATGGGACACTGTCTGCTGCCCATCTGAGCCAGGGATGGAGACCCTGCGGTATTCCAGGCTGCTGGCAGCTCCGATCACCCCTCACCACTGGCTGTGCCAGCTGGTGCCGATGAAAGCTGCAGTTCAGCAACACTTGCAGGTCCGCAGGTCCGATCGTCCCTACTCTAAGGTCAGAGGATGGTCAGGAACCATCTTTATAAGCAAGGGAGCACGTGTTAAGCCTAGTGAGTGCCCCTTTGCAGCGGCTTCCAAGCTTCCAGGGTCCTTCTAGGCTGAACCAGCATGGCAGAAGAAGCACCTGAGATCATCTTCACCTCCCCATCCACTTTCTTGGCTGAGTTTCTGGAGATGGGCTTTTTAGTCTCTCTAGTGCGGGTGCTTTGGTGAGGAGAGAGAAGAAAACTGGAGGAAGCTTAGGACAACTTGTGTTCTAGCTTCTCCAGTCTCCTCCCCTCGTGCCTACATGAAAGTCCCCTTTCTTCCTCCTTCAAAGCTGCTTTTCTGACCTGGGAGAGGCAGCCAGTGCAGCCGCCTTCACACTGGCTGCAAGGTGGGTGGTCCAAGGGCTCCAGCTCCCCCTTCCAAGCCAAAGCAGTCTCTGCACTTGAGGGCTGGTTTCTGAGCTGTCCGACAGGCCCTGGGAGACTCCAGCAGGGACCAAAGGATTGTTCTCTTAGGGCGCCTCCAGAGGAGGCCTCTACTGTGCAACTGGACTGCCTCATTCTCGAAGCGGTGCAGGAGGGGTGGGGGTGAGTCCACGCAGCAGCAGCGTCACTTTTCAGCACTCCCAGGTTTCCCCACGGCTTCCTTCCTCTTGTTTCTTACTTACTAGGAAAAACTCCATTGAGAAAAAGATGGAATAGCGCCACTGGGCCACCCAGGAGCTGTCTCTCTGGAAGCACCCTGGCTTGTGCGCCAAGGTCAAAAGGCCTGTGCTTTGTCACACCTGAGCAAAGGACTTTCCTAGCCACCTCGTAACTCTTCCGGGATACCCGCCTGAGCGATTGCCCTCTCTCTCTTTGACCTGGGGGGAACGACAGCAAAAGACCCTCAAAATGCAGCAGTGCCTTCCAGGGCATTCCAGCCACCACAGTGACAGATAGCTAAGAAGGCCATGCTCTTCCATTTGGAGCTGACTGGGGGATGATGGGAGTTGCAGTCCATCACAGCTGGAGAGGACTGCTTTGGCTTCTCAGAAAGAACCAAAGCATTCCAATGCCCATCGGGTGCAAATCTTCTCCAAACCGTCCCCATAGTGCTTCCTCTTCTGCGCAGTCTTTGGCGCAGTGGGAGGCTGGCGGCCACACGACACGGCTTCCGCAAAAACAGGTCCTGCCAGACAAACCTGTGGAACTCTATGACAAGGTTTCGAGGTGGCTGGATGGAGGGGATGCAGTGGCTGTGGTATACCTGGATTTCAGCAAGGCCTCTCACAAAGTGCCCCATGATATCCTGGTGGAGAAACTGAGTAGTTTTGGGATACACCAAAGCACTGTCCAGTGGATTAGGGCATGGCTGACTGACCGAAAGCGGAGGGTAACCATTAACGGGGAATCATTGGAATGGCGGCCAGTGACAAGCGGGGTCCCCCAGGTCTCTGTCCTAGGGCTGATCCTGTTTAATCTTTTCATAAATGACATGAAAGAAGGGGTGAACGGTCTGCTGATCAAATTCACAGACAACACTAAAACTGGAGCAGGGGCCACAACAGAGGAGCAGGTTCTCCAGATTCAAAAGGATCTGGACAGACTATGGAAGTGGGCAGGAGACAACAGGATGGCGTTCAATGTGGATAAGTGCAAGGTCTTGCACTTGGGGCATAGGAATAGGTGTCATAAGTACAAGTTAGGTGACAAGTGGCTGGAGAGCAGCACTTGTGAAAGGGACCTCGGGGTACTGGTTGACTGCAGGCTAAACATGAGTCAGCAGTGTGATGCGGTGGTTAAGAGGGCAAACGCCACCCTTGGTTGCATAGCCAGAAGTGTGGCTTCTAGATCGAGAGAGGTATTACTACCACTCTACACAACTCTGGTGCGCCCACAACTGGAGTATTGTGCTCAGTTTTGGGCCCCTCATTGCAGAAAGGATATAGCCAGGTTAGAGTCAGTGCAGCGTAGGGCCACAAGGTTGGTGGCCGGTTTGCAGGGGATGGGGGATGAGGCGAGACTGAGGGAACTGGGTCTCTTCAGCCTGGAGAAGAGGAGACTCAGAGGGGATATGTTGGCGACATACAGGTATGTGAGGGGATGTCACACGGAGGTGGGTAGAAACATGTTCTCCCCTGCAGAGGAAGGCAGGACGTGCTCCAACGGAGCAAAGCTCAGAGAACCAAGGTTCATTTGGATGCCAGGAAGCACTTCCTGACAGTCAGGACCCCGAGGGTGTGGAATGGCCTTCCACGAGAGGTGATTGAGGCCCCATCGGTGCAGGTGTTCAAGGATAGGCTGGACGTCCACATGGTGGGCATGTCGTGAGCAGAGCTGGCTGGTGCCAGAGGTCAGACTAGATGGCTCGGGAGGCCTCTTCTGACTCGCTCTGTTTCTATGTTTCTATGTCCTCGCTACCAGTTCCAGTGACCGTTTGGACACAGCTTGCTTCAACCAAACCCACTCCGGCCTTCTTAGGAAGGGGCGGTGGCCCTTGCTGGACTCCCCCCAATGGTGCTCTAGGGCCAAGGCAGAGGTGGGAAGCCTGCACCCACCCGAGTTGCCAGGCCGGGCTCCCAGGCCCCCTGGCTTTTGGCTGGGCTGGCAGGAGCTGCCATCCGAAGACACCCAGTGGGGTGGGCATTGCCCACCTGGGGCTTGGGCCTGGTCTGCAATGAGGCCATGCGAACTGGAGGGGGCAGAGCGAGTTGCAGTACTTGAAACTGTTCCTGGGCAGGGGACCCTCTATGTTTAGATGCACCCCCTCCAACTGCCTGTCTGCAGATGGAAAGCACCAGTAGCAAACCGACACCTCCAGGGAGCCATTCATGCTCGGCCTGCCCAGGCTGCTTGTGCTGCCTAATTTGGCAGTGCGGGGAAAAGTCAGTGGTGTTAGCCCTACGGAGCACTCCGAGTGTCCCATTCTGCTTGCTCCCGAGCTAAATGGGACACTTGGAGCACTCCAGAGCTGCTAGTTGAGCAGAAGAGAGCATTCTGGGACATCTTCCCCTCCGCCAACCAAAGTTCCCACCATTCCCTTCACTGCATGAGAAAGCTTTGACCTGCTCCTGGTTTGCATGTACCAGCAGCCTCACCGAGACTCCGGGCAGCACCAGTGCGAGTGCAGCTGCTGAACCTCCACCTCCACCTCCGCCACCTCCACCGCTGCCCTCTATGCTGTCATCTCTTCCTCCACCAATAGAAGCAGAGAATCTTCCTCCTCCTCCAGCAGATATTTTGCCGCCTCCACCTGTTGCAATTGATGATATTCCTCCAGTGCAGCCCTTGGAGCCTGGTAAGAGCCCTTGAGATTGGTAAAAATTTCAAAATCAGCTCAGACAAATGCCCAGATAGACTCACTCTGTAAGCATAGGATATGGAATTGGTTTTGAAGTTCAACAGCATTCTGAGATCCAGAATTGTTGTTTTGCTTTTGTAACCCATGCTTCTAGTCCTTATTGTTGCTAAGAAGAACTTCAAATGGATGGACCAACTCCAATGGAAGCCCAGAAGCCAGTGAATAGCTGAGCAGGGTGGGCGGTAGGCCCAAGGGGAGCTGGACTGCCACGCTCTGCTTCTTTGCACAGGGCTGACAAGCACAGCAAAGGAGCAGTGTTCATTTTCTTGTTTGGGAAATTGCTATCCTGTTTTGTTTGCAGCTCTGGATTTCCCAGCATCTCCACTGCTGCCACCCCTGGACGTCACTCATACAGAGATGCTGAAGCCACCGCTCCTGCCCCCTCCTCCACCCCCAGAGAAATTGCCATGGGCCCCAGACACCTACTTAGAAGAAGGTACGTTGTCAAAACAGATGAGCTGTTGCCTCAGTCCTGACTGCACGTTTGTTTGTACTGCCTTCTGCGAATTGTCCTTGAAGTGCTAGCGGCCCCGGCCCCCTTGAAGGCACTCATTCAAGCCCACACTGAAGCGGTGACTGGTCCTAGTTGCCCTGCAGTGCTGATGGCGCAGTTCTTTGCACATGCTCAGAGAGACTGCTATGTCTCCTTTGCACAGATGTTGGAGCTTCTTGCTGCTGCTCTTACTATCCTCGGCAACAGTTTCCCTCTCTGAGTGGACGCCTTCAGTCTATCCGTATCACACATTTCAGGAAGCTCCCTTCTCAAGACATTTGCATCCCGGAGATGGAGGGCCCAACTCGCACACGCAAATTAACACAGGGCCTGCTCCACCCAGAAGCTCTTCCATGCAAGAGGCCAGGCAGGCCACGAGGCATGAAGGTGCCCTCACAGGGCAGCTGTTCACACCGGAGGGCCTCCTGCTGCGGGGCCTCCCAGGGGGCTGGGCCCAGCAGGTTGAGCCTCTCGGCCACACGCTCTGCTGCTTTTGCGACCACCCAGCCTCTGCCCTGTGCACCGGGGACGGGGAGCGTGTGGCTCTCCAGAGGAGGCTGGAATGCAGCTCCCTCCATCCTACATGATGGGCTATGCCGACCAGAGCTGATGGGCTTTGCAGTCCACACTCCCTACCCCTGCTTTGCCATTGCCTGCCCTCACCTCCCTTGTCAGAGGCACTTCCACAGCTCACCGCGGGAGGTTTCTCCAGGAGGCCTGGCCTGGCCCCCTCGGAAGGCTCTCTGAACGTCCTGTGGGCCCGACTGGCGAGTCCCCTGAAAACCTAGCGTAGCTTTCTTTTTATTGCTCCTTCCATCACCTAACCTCCTTCCTTCTTACTCCTCCGTTTGCCCACAGTGGTGACCATATACCCTTACACACAGCAGAAGGAAGATGAACTCTCATTCATGGAGGGAACTGTCATTTACGTGACACGGAAATTCTCGAACGGCTGGTATGAAGGGGTGACGCACGACGCGGTGGGATTGTTCCCAGGGAACTACGCCGAACCTTTGCACTGAAGAAACCAGAATGCGGGTGTGACATCAGAAGGGTGCAGGGAATGGGATTCCAGTTCTGGTGGCCTGTACCTGCGGGATGGACCACTTTGCCCATTTTGACTCCTGTTTGCCTGTTGGTGCATGGAGAGCAGCAACAAGGGTCCCGATTGCCCTAACCAGGCTGAAATAAAGCAAGGCAGGGTATTTGGGATTAAGATGGGAGCATAATCGGTGTCCTATAGTTGTGTCAAACATCAGGCCCAGGGGCCCCATCCGCTCTTGCAGTGTTGCCCAGATCACCCCGTCTGTGCCTCTGACCATTTGGTGGCTTCCCTGTAGGGTTTTCTGCATTCTGAAAGACTGAAATGCCCATTACTGGCCCTGAGTACTTTCCCCTGACTTTCCCCCGCTGGCTTCTTTGGCCTTGCTGCATTGTGTGTCGGTCCTGCCCTTCACTGACTACAATCCCTGAAATCTTCTCTGGAACTGAATTCAGAGAATGCACCCACCCTATAGATACTGTTTATAGTCCCTTTTGCTCCCACTTTTTGACAAAGCCTGTGCAGCAGCTACTGAGGTGCATCGAAGCACCCGTTTCTACCCTCATGGAAGCAACTGTCCTCAGCTAGCATCATCTGCCCCATCTTCACACTGATATTGCAATAAAGCTCACTGAAGTGCATTGGAGGAGGCTCTGTGGTTGTTTTCTCGTCCTACCAGCAGGTGGCACTCTTGTGTTTGCTTGGCTCTATGCACCCTACATGGGGCTAAAGTCATAGACCTTGGCTGGGTGGGCCAAAGGTTCTGACCCGCTTGAGGGCAGTTTCGTGTCCAGGTAGCAGAAGTGGAAAAAGCAGATGGCATCCTCTTTGGTATGATGATGTGGAGCTTGTACAAACTAATTTCCCAGTGTCTGGCAGGTAGCCTGTGGGACAGAGTTCCTTGCTCCTCACCCACTCCTGATTGCAGGAGCGGGTATTTTTTAAAATCAGCAGTATTATGGGTTGGTGACCATTGGGAACAGCTTTTTTGCCATCCGTTTGTCGCTCCATCCCTCAAAAGCAGTCCAGCACCCCAGACAGCCCCAGTCCTGGCCACAGAATGCAGCACACTCGATACCTGCTTCCACTGCCCTTTAATTCCTCCTCCTCTTCCTTTCTTTCCTTCTAAGAAGAAAGAAAAGAAATGCCTATTGATATGATACCAGTGCAAGGGATGACTTATAAAACGATGGACGACCCAGAGCCGAGTGCCTTTGCCCTGCAGGCCAAGGGAGGGAAACTGTTTTATGAGAAAGGAGGTAGCTCCCAGCCGGGCAAGGAATGAGGAAAGCAGTGCAGCCCCGCCGTAATACCATCAGAGTTCATGCGTCCAACGTTTCAGGGTGACAAAACTTGACCCCGTGGTGGCTACACAAAAAGAGACATTTGAAAACACAAAGGCAGATCGTACAATAATGCTGATGTCAACACTGGAGAGCAAAGGCAGATTTGGAAGTATTTGCTAGACACACTTGGAGGGCGAGTAGAAAAAAGTTTCCATGGCTTTTAAGTTCCGGCAAGGAGAGGCGGGGAAGGCGGGAGGCAGAGTGGGGTGGCTGCTCAGAGCAGATGCGGAGGGCCATGGGGCAGGTAGGTCTGCATGTGCCAAAGGCTGCAATGCGCCCCATAAGCTGCCCCATTGCCATCGTTGAAGCAGAGCCCAATTGCCAGTCTGGCCAGCTTTTGTACATAGGATGGGCAGCATGTGGGGGGGGGGGGGCACCGTCTTGTCCTTTGCATCAGGCAGCAAAATGTTTTGGGCTGTCCCTGGAAAATGACAACAACACACAGACACTGTGGGGGAAAGTGGAATAAAGATCAGGTGGAGGTGAAGGCAGTCAAATCTCAGGCAGGTGGGCTGGTTGTACCGTTTGGTATGGAAAACCAGACTGCAGGCTAGGGAGAAACACACCTTGGCAGTTTCTAGGACAGGTGTGCAAAGGAGAATCAGATACTGCAGTAAAATAGAACAGAGAAGACCACAGTAATCAGGTCTGACCTCAGTAACACCTTCAGGTACATCCTGCCACTGATCATAGCCTCAGGGGGCAACATAATCCACATATTGTGTGACCCATCCTAATGCACATTAAAAAGAAACATTGGCTTTCTCTCATTGGCCTGATCTGCATTGTCCCTTGTTCCAACCTTGGTCCCAGGCCTGCTGGCCCATTGCTAAAGCTGGTGGGCAGTATCTCTTTTAGTAATTTAATCAACACTCCTTCTCCACATGGGACTGTAGTTCTGGGAGAGGTGTAGGGATAGCCAACCGTTAGCAGTCAGCACCCCCCACACCCTAAACTACAATCCCATTTGAAGGGAGTCATTAACAGATACACTTTTATAAAATAAGTTTATGCATACAGTAGAGTTGAGCCCTTCATATATAAAATGACATATTTGCACCTTGGGACTCTTTCAGCATGGATACCTTGCACAGAAGTCCAGAAATAAACTATTCTGTGTTCTTTTCTCTGTTTCAAACCTCTGATTTACTGGGGAGAGCATGAATGCTAACACACACACAATCATTTTACTCTCTCTCTCTCTCTCTCTCTCTCTCTCTCTCTCTCTCTCTCTCTCTCTGTGTGTGTGTGTGTGTGTGTGTGTGTGTGTGTGTGAGTGAGTGAAGGATAGAAAATGGAAGTCTGTGATTGCAAGAAGGAAGTCTTCCACTGCTGTCCCGATATTGTCCAACGATCAATATCAGGACAGCAAGAAACAAAACTGCAATGGAGGAAGGCCAGGACACTAATCTGAGCATTCCCCGAGAGATGTAGGGCAGCAAGCACCACTTGGTCTCTTGCAGCTGCCTCCGAATCAGCCTCCCCCATCCTGGTGCCCACCAGATGATGGGGACTTCAGCTCCAGTCAGCCAGAATGGCCAATGGTCAGGAATTCTGGGAGCTGTCATCCAAAAGATTTGGAGGGCACCAGCCTGGGGAAACAAGGTCCCAGCATGCATGGTCTAGCCTGTTTGCTTAAGCAGCGGGGTGACCCCTGCAAGGGGCAACGGTGCCAGGAAGCATGAAAGGCTGACCAGAGGATGTTGCCTTATGCAGAGCCACTGTGCCGGGCTAGAAGACCCTTCCTAGCTCCCCATTTATGGCTGGAAATGCTTGCACCCCTCCCCCAATTCCCTTACATGCTAGAGCAACTTTTATTAAACTTTTATTACTCTTAGTTTATCAGAGGGAGCAATGCCTGGTCCTCCAGATGCTTTAGTATACAATTCCCATTATCCACTGCCACTGGCTGTACTGGCTAAGGCTGATGGGCCAGAAGTTGCTCACCCTGGTATCAGATGGTGCTGGGTGATACACCACTGGCTAAATGCTGTGGCAGCAACACAAGCCTTTCCCAAGTGCCTCTGAGAACTAGTTTGAGAGAAAATAGAGGAGAGGTTTTAGGGAATGCAAAAGAAGAATTTTCAAAATGGTGAAAATAAATAAGAGGAGGTAAATGGCCAAACATCCACCCACCCTTCCATGAATGGATTTCCTAACTGCATAGACAGAGCATTTGTCTCCAGGACAAAGGAAGGGAAGATCCAGAGACAAATTCTGAGCAATAAGAGGGGGAAACACCTGAGTCCAAGCCAAGCATGAGAAAGGTGTGATGTTAATGTTCAGGCATTTCTGAACGGCTAGCAGGGATGGGATCAAGAGCAGCTGCATCTTCCACCACGAGCTCTTCCTCAACATTTCTGCTTGAGAACATCTTGAAGGTAGCAGCACACCTCGGCAGCCGAGTCCCACGGGACTACAGTGGCTTGGTAGGTCCCGGGTTGGGTTTTCTCCATCTCCAGGATGAGCTGGTGCATTGGGTAGCCCTTCCGTGGGAACGCGACGTCGCTCGACTTCATGGCTGTGGAAGGGCAAAAGTCATTTGCTCCATCGCCCACGTAGAAGACCCTCTCGAATCTGGTGCCCTCCTGGGCCCTCTCAGCCAGGTATTCCGTCAGGATCTTGTGCTTGCACATATTTGCTGGACACCGTGGGCAGCTGTGTGAGTGATAAGGACCTAAGGTGAAGTAACCCCTCTTGTCAAAGCTGGAAGGGTTACTGAAGATTTTACGGAAGAGGGAGTAGGCACCCGCGGCCTTCAAGGCACATTCAATGCCGAACATGTTGGCGTCGGAGATTAGGATGATCTCAAAGTGGGCCTGCTGCTTGGCGAGGTACTGGAGGAGGTCTCGCATTCCGGGGGAGAGGGGGATCTTCTCGTAGACAGCTTTGAAGTCGGCCATCTTCACCCCTTGGTCTCCCAGGTACCTCAGTACATGCTGCATGTACTTGTTGTAAGACCCTTCCTGGAAGGTTTGGCGCAGCGACTCGGGAAGCGTTTTGTCCGGAGCGACTTGGAGGACAGAGTCATCACTGTTCTCGTTCACAATGGTTTCATCGAAGTCGAAGACAAGGAGGTATTTCTGGCCCTGTGGGGCAGCCACAGTCCCATTCTGCAAACAAGAAGCCACCCAAGACAGCCATCCATTAACACAGACCTCCTTTTGTTACAATACGGTGGGCAACTTTTGACCCTCCGGACCTTTGGACCTACAACTCCTATCAACCCCACCTAGCAGAGCCAATGGCAAGGGATGATGGGAGGCCAAGGCATCCGAAAGGCCACGAGTTGCCCACCTCTGCATTAGAGCCATTCACATGATATTTAATAATAGCTAAGTGATTTTGCAATCTTTCTTCAATTCTGACTTTGATGCTTCTGCTCACATCCTACCTGAGCCGTGGGGAACTATGTGCAGAAGGTTTATTGGGGTGCCAGAAAGGGCAGAGAAAGTTGATGAAGACACATGCACAAAACCAGGCCTAACCATTGCAGAACTTCCCTTTCGCATGCAAACAGGTGGAGAACCTTGGGTGACCTGGTACTTCTACCTTACCCTCACCAAAGCAAAAGACTCTATGACTACGCCTGAAATTTATGTAAGCGAGCTAGCTGGCCTGTCTGGTCTATCTTTTGTTTTAGCTGGGTCTTCTTAGGAATATAAGGAATGGACAGTGTAATCTCAGAGAAAGGGAACAGAGATCAGTGACAACTGCTGCCAACTGCTGCTGTCCAGTCACTGGGAGACCCCTTTGGTTTGCCTCTGGACACCATCTTCAAAGTAGCTACATCTAAAAGGCCCGACAACTTTCATTCCAGTTAAACATCCTTGGGGGAATGCATCAGTATGATCTTCACAGAGTGTTTCTGACCTTGCAATATTTTTAACCACTCTGCCTTAAATTATCAGCCTCTCTGAGTATCAGTGACTTGCTGTTCTTTTTCCTATGGAAAGTTTAGTATGAGAAAGGGCAGCAGAGCTAGGACTGCAGCAATCTTTGAGCTACTTAGACAAATCACTACTGCCTGATTACTGCTCGGTGCATCCTTCAGGCCCTGGTGCGACTGTAATCTTTTCCCTCATATATCTTCAACTCTGACCCTAAGAGGCTTAGCCCCTCTATAAAGGGGATCAGGGTTTGCATCTCTCTTAATCCTGAAGTGAGCAAGATGATTTACTGTCCTTGAAGGGCTCATGCTGCTGTCCCCAAAGGACAGTGACATGGCACAAGAGAGCTTCAGAGTGCACTAGGGACATGTAAAGGAAGGCAGTGCATATCATAATACGCACAGCAAATGTGCACAGTTTGAGACAGAATGCGGATCTTCTGAGATTGTTGAGTAGTTCAGATCAGTGAACCAAGGGTGGGGGGGCGTTCCTGTAGCTTTGGACCTACCAGGGGTGGCCTTCCTGATCCCCACTTGCGGGACGGACCCTTCCAAGCCATCCCCGGTTAGGCTCCTCCTACCCCGCTTGCATTACGTACCTGCTCCTCGTGTTCTGCCATCGCACTACCTTACATAGAGTCAGCCCACCAATCAGAAATGAAGAATGCCAACCAGTGAAGAGAGAGAGGCGTGCCCTGGAGGTTGCAGGTAGCAGAGGCAAAGGAGTTAAGCGAAGAATTGCTGAGAGGCTTCTGGCCTGGAGTGGGGCTGGCCCGAGGCACTTGCTGCCTGAAGCAGAGTCCAGACCTGACCCCGCTCCCACCCCCGCTCAGGTCAATGCTTTAAAAGGGCTGGCTGGGCCAGACCCATCCCAGGCTACTTCGATTCCCAGCTGCTGGTGCCGCCCAGCACAATCCAATCCACCTTGCTACACGGTGGGGCTGGACCTAGTTTCAGCCCCTGAAAGGCAGGGTTTGGCACCCGCCTGGACAAGTCTGAGTCTCCATCCTTGCCACCAACCCCTTGTTCCAGGAACATGGCCTGTGCTCACCTTCAGAAAGCATCGCAGCCCAACGCCTTCAAAGCACCTTTTCATCTTCAACACGTTAGTTGCCGGCGTGTTGCATCCCTGTGTCAGACCTCCCCCAGCTGCCAAAGAAACCAGAAATCGCTGTTGTTCTGTGGGCAACCCCCTGCTGTGCCTGCCCTGGCCATTTCAGGGGCTTCCCCAGGCTGAGAGCAGGTCCATTTTCACTGAAAAGACCCCACTGTACAAGCTCAGTTTGATGGATTCTCATGGTAGCCACTGGTTGCTAGTCAGTTGCCAACCCCCCTGGGAAGTCCATCCACAAATGGCCTCCCTCAGTCCCTCTTGCTCTTGAGCTGAGCTGAGCCTCCCTCCCTCCAAAGTTTCCATTCCGGCCAATTTTTCAGTGCTTTCATTCCCATTTGCCCATCTCAAGACCTTCACAAACAGAAATCAGCAGAAACACCTCTTAATCAGAGAATACAAAAAACAACGGCCAGGAAATGTCAGGTGTGAAAGCCATCATGGATCTAACCTACAACCTCCTTTTGAAGCTATCCAAGTCTGAAATCTATGACCAAGACGCACACCTGCATCCAAATCATCCAAGTTTATCAACTATATTGGTGGGCCATTGTGACCTACACCGAGTGTGACGGGTAGGAACAGATCTAGAAATTCCTTCCCCTCCCCACCAAAAACACACACATACACACTACTCAGAAAGGTCTGGAATAAGACAGAACTACAAACTGTGTAGCCTCACATCAAATCGAGCAGCCAGGATCACACCAATTGGTTCCACCGTCCGATTGGTTCCAGACTGAATTCACGGGAGGTTTGTGCCCTTCCCGTGTCTTCTTCTTATGTTCTACTGCCATCTTGTGGTCAGAAAAAAAGCTGACTGATGACACCAAACTTATGAAAGGACCATTCCAAAGCAAAGCTTTGGAGAGAGAGGCTGCCCTACATACTAGCAATTCTAATTGATCAGATTGTTGTCACTCCGGCTTTAGGACTGGGCTGTTCACCTGTTTATCATATTTTGCTTTCTTTAAGAGCCACAAGAACATACATTCATTTAAATAGTCATTTAGTTGCCTTATTTTTAATAAAATCAAATAAACAAGGAATATTAAGTTTAAGCATTGCAAAACCATACTGGGAATGAGTGGCGCCACAAAGGCTGGTCCATCAGTGCTGTGCAAACCCAGCTTCTGCTGCAAATGGGCAGGACTGGCTTGTGCCCTTTCAGTCCAGGAGACGAGCATGTGGCTTTGGACAATGTGGTGAGCAAGCGTCCACGGGGGCTCTGCCACATGGATAAAGCACGGTCATGCATTATTGTCGTTGTTACATGACATCAAGTCATCTCCAACTTATGGCAAACCTATAAATGCCCTTGAAAAGGAATGGATGCCCCCCAAGGGCCCTGCTCAGCTTTTGCAATCTCAGAGCTGTGGCTTCCTTTATTTCGTAGTTGGTTTCCCTTTCTTCGGCCATCAACTTTCTCTAGTATGATTGCCTTCTGCAGTGAGTCTTGCCTTCTCATGATGTGTCTATGTTGCAGTTTGTCAATTTTGCTTCCAGGGAAAGTTCTGACTTGATTTGATCTAGGAGCCACTTGTTCCTTCTGTCTGTCAGTCTGTCCGTCCATCAGTCCAGGGTTTTCACAAAGTGCTACTCCCTCAATTTTCTTCCCGCCAGCTTTCTTCATTGTCCAGCTTTCACATCTGTACATAGTGACTCAGAATAGAAGATTGTGGATGATTTTGGCCTTGGTCTCCAGTGAAATGTCCACACCTTTTATCTTTTCTAGATCTTTCATTGGTACCTTTCCTAGTCTCCATCTTTAAATTTCTTGGTTGCAGACTCCGTTTGAATTGATGACTGAGGCAAAGTATGACGAATCTTTTACAATTTCAATGTCTTCATTGTTTACATTAAAGTTGCATAACTCTTCTGTACTCATGATTTTTGTTTCCTTAATGTTCAGTCCTGATTTTGTACCTTTTCACTTTCATCACAAGTTATTTAAATTAACTGCTGCTTCCTGCATCATCTGCATATTTTAAATTGCATATGTTAAATTACTCATGTATTTCCATCCCTCTTCCTTCTGATCCAAATCCAACTTTCCTTATAATATGCTCTGTGTACAGATTAGGGAGATAAAATACACCCAGGTATGATCCATTTGCCTACAGGAAACAGTTTGGTTTCTCCTAACTCAGGCTTCTTGCCCATGGTATGATTGCACCAGGAAAATCAAGCGTTGAGGCACACCCATTCTTTCAGAACACCCATAGCCTATTGTGAGCCATACAGTCAAAGGCCTTGCTGCATATAAAGCATAGATCTATAAAGCCTGCAGTCTATAAAGCATAAACTGATCTTCTGAAATTCTTTGGCGTGCTCTCATAGTCAGCATATATTTGCAATATGATCTCTAGTGCCTCTTCTTTTTCAGAATCCAGCTTGAACGTCAGGCTTTTCTTGCTCCGTACAAGACAAAACACTTTACATATTTGTCACCAAGACCTTGAGCATCACTATGTTTACCCGGGAAATTACTACAATGGTCCTAAACTTGCACAGCTCTTTTGCATCTCCTCTCTTGGGGGCTGGAATGTATGTTTCCAGTCTGTGGGACAGTATCTTGTTTTCCATAGTTATAGATATATCCTTGTTAGAATTTGGACCAATTCAATCTCTGCAGTTTGAAATGATTGTATTGGTACCCTGTCTACTCACGATGCTTTATTCCTTCTAAGCATTTTCACAGCAACTTTTAAATATTTCAGGTTCTTGCTCACACAATTCCTCTTGGAAGAAGCCCATCTTGTTTTCACTTCTTCTCTGTAGTTGCTCAGTATATTGTTTCCACCTTATCTTTATTATATCTCGATCAAATAGTATGCTTCCCTGTTGGTCGTTCAGCATTCCTAATCTAGATTTGAATCTCTTTTGCATCTTCCGGGAGAGGTCTCTCATTTCTCCTCTTTCATTTATTTGCCCTGGCCATTGTACTAGAATTTTGTCTTTAGGTGACAATTGCGGAAAAGTTGCACTGGGGATTCTGCCCCTACTTCTGTCATCTTTGCATCTTATTTGCCCTGAGCAATTGTAAGTAGGGATGTGTAAGAAATCTAGTTTGGGGGTGGGAATCCATCAGATTTCCTCAGCTTGTCTCCCTGGACTCTGGACAACTTTCTTGTTTTCCTAAGTCTGCTTCACACTGAACATTTGTGTGGGCATCCAGCATGAAGCGACTTCAAGTGAAGCTCTGCTTCCACACACGACTCCGGCTTCATGTGCTTTGCACAAAAAATCACATAATTGCATATTTTGTATGAAGAATTTTGCACGTTGCATATGATCCCTAATTGCATTTCTTACATCATTTGTTTAGCCTATTCCTCCCCGCCCCCCGATTTTTTTTTTGCTACAGAAATAGTCTTCTTGCAGTCTGTCTCTGGTTTCAGTCCATAGTTCTTCTGGTTCACAGTCAATCAAGTTTAGTAATGCAAATCTGTTCTGTATGTTGGCTTTAAATTCCTCAGAAATGTTATTTACTTTGTATTGTGACACTGTGCTTTTATTAGAATCTTTTCAGCTTTACTCTGATTTTTGATGTTCACAGCTCATGGTCACTCCTGCAATCTTGTCTGGATCCTGTTTTGGCAGAGGATAGAGCTTCTCCATCACCTTGTTCCAGTTACACAGTCTATTTGATTTCTGTCTGGCCACCTGGAGACGTCGAGTGTGTACAGTTGTCTGTATGGTTGCCTGAAGAATGTATTTACAATAAACAGGTCATGGTCTCAAACACTGGAGGCCATACATAGCCATCATGACTACTAGCCATTGATAGGCGTACCCTCTATCCGTGTTAATTTGTCTGTAAACAGAAATCTGAAAAGGAATATGTCCTAGAGCCCACGACACCTCTGTGTGAGGAACACGTAAGCGAATTTAACACACACGTATATCAAACCTATCTCAGTGCTCAAGCTTGTTTGATGCTGATGCATTCAGCACAGTAAGAGATTTGGGCTGGTCGCCTGTGCAGGGGGCTGGAATTACGTAAGGAGGAATGGAATAGACTAAGACCATGTCAAAAGGGAACTGCTGAAGTCTTTACTGCTATTATGGCCTGAAGAGCAAAGCCATTTGGAGTGAGGGAAACTGGATCCCAGAAACGACTGCAGCAAAGTTCAGAAGAGGAAAGACAATCTGAAGAATGGTTGACCTCAAACCGGCTCCTGGGACACACGCCTGGGAACTCTGCTCCAGCAGATGGCGGCGTTGCAGCACCAGCAGGGCCAGAGAGAGAGAGCAGGTCGCTCCTGCTTTCCTCCCCGTTTCACAGGATGTTCTCTGTCCTAGGCTGCCCCCGGCTTGGCCAGCACAGTGCGGAGCATGTGGGATGGACAGAGTCAACAACACCACGTGCTACCAATTAAGCCCAGGCATACGTGGCAGCACAAGCAGCGGGTTTTATTTTTACTTGGGTTGAGATGACCTGAGCAGGGCACATCTTCAGGACTGGCGACACCACAGCCTTCCTGCAAAGAGAGGACAGCCCTCCAAAAATGGGTCAGTTAGCTCCACCCCCTGTCCATGCTGGCAAGTGGAGAAAGAGAGGCACCACTGCACAGAACGGCACATGTCGGCACCTGGGGCGGCCTTTGAGAGAGGCCAGCCTTGCGCAGTAAGTGGGACCAAGGCTGGGATTCATTCTGGTTCCTACCAACGTCGCCAGAGTTCCATCATATAGCCTCAGTGAAGTTCTCAGCCTTAAAAAAAGGAATTCTCAGCTACCTGCTGCATGTGGCTGAAGTTTCAAAACACTGTGAGGCTGTCTAGTCCAGCCTTCCCCAACCCAGTGGCCCCAGATATGCCGGTCTGGTCCTCCTAGCATCCCTCATCCAGCATGGCCATACTCAGGAACACCAGGAGTTACCACGTAAATCAACTTGCGGGCATAAGGCTGGGGAAAGGCTGCATTAAGAGAATATGAGATGCTCTCTGCTCTTCAGGCAAGACGAGAAACCACCCGCAGCAGAATGGAGAAAAGTACCACGGCACAATTAGAGATGAGCAAAATGTTCGTCATGAT